TACTTCGAAACGCTAGTTCTCCGGAAGGCCTTCGAACTATAATTTAAGAAAGACTTTACCTTTGAAAATTATATATAGAGGGAGGGCCTAACCCGAAGTATTCGTACACTTAATTATAGTCACCTATTCACGATTTCTAGGTTATAAAACTCCTCTTCGACTAGGTAAATCACTTCTCGTAATAACCTTTATAGTTAAAATCACTCCTATAGCGAAACCAGTCTTATCGAAGTTATAGATATTATCGGGATCGATTCCAAATTAAAGGATTGTCTTTTGAACCAGATTAAACTACCCTTAAATAATTTTTAGGTCTTCGTATTTCGCACGCTCGTAGTTATACCGTTTTAAGAATCGGGAGGAGAGGAGAGGATACCGTTGTACGAATTTCGTAACCCAGTTTTCGCCGACCGAAGGAACCGGGGTAGTTCTACACTTTTAAAGAAGAAGATCCGCTATTTCTCGTACTATAGAGTACCGGGGGGCCCCTCCACGAGAATCTATAGAGAGTATCTATTTTTGAAGAGATTCCTCCTCGAGTTCTGTTAATATATAACTATTGGCGCGTGTTTCAGGACGAAAGGTATCACTAGCGAGGCGGCGTTGTAAGGTAGAGCGGGGGACTTCGAAACGGCGCGCTACTTCACGAATTGAAGAGATTTCTTGATTCTTAAAAGCCTAGATAGCTAGTAAGATCCTACCCTCTTACTCTATTAAATTTCTAGAGCGTTGAGAGCGAATTGGTGGTATAGTGGGTGGTTGAAGAAGAAGGGGTTAAATTAATTGACGCGTTTTGGATAGGTGGCCCACTCGGTAGTGGAATACGTTATACTACTATTAGTCTACTTTAAAAATATATTTTAACTACTATACTATAAATATTTTATATTATCTATTAAAACTAACCTTTAATAAGATTTTTCTACTCGATACTAAGAAACCTAAGGTAACAATATATAAGGTATTAGCTTACAATTTAATTTCTTTATATTTCGAAAGTCTTTATAGTAAAATATAAGAAAAATTTAGAGGTACACTAGAATAGCTGTAAATAACAGTATTTTAAGAAGCTAAATTATCTAATTTATATGTCCGAAATAGGAAAGGCGGGGAGAAATTATATATTTGAGGGTCGATAAGGGTCGATATAGGTGACCCTTAAGGGACCCTTAGAGGGTCAGGGTTAGGGTCAGGGTCGGTAAGGTTAGACCCTAACCCTCTGAGGTGTAGGTAGAGGTTCCTAATCTCGGACCTACGGGGCGGGTGAGTGCTAGGTCTACTTCTACCCTAGTCTCGCTTAGGAAGAACCGGACGAACGGGGTATATAGGCAGATATAGGCTCACTCCTGCCCTACCTGTACAGGGACTCCCTGTGTCAGTCACCACTGAGAACACAATATAACAACAAGGCTACCTAGGTTCAACTTGAGTACGAGGCTTATATAGGTTTAACAGGGTCTTTAACTGGTAATAACAATTCAATTAAAAAAATCTCCTAGAATTAAGAATACTACTGGTGATCTGGATTTAAATATGCTCCAGATTCTGTCAGCTTTTCCCGCCTTTCCGGGTTAGATAATCCTTCCACCTTTCACCCCGTGACATTGGCGAGGACCGGGTACTCCTCTCACTCTGATTGATATATATGAGACCCTACATGGTGGGGTCTTCACACGTTGCTCCCCTCTATCGCTGTTCAACTTGCCTAACTAACAGGAACCAGCCTGCAAGCTATCATATATGTAGTATTATTTACAGTATCAGAGAATACATGATTCTCAACATACCAAAAATACGTAGAGTAGAATGGAGACGAACGTAAGATAAATTTATCCGCATATTCTAATATCTCAATAGAACATGAGTGCACCGTTATGTACCATCCGTAGACCCTTACCACTAGACCCGTGTGAAGAAGTAAAGATATGCGGTTTTCTTCATCGCTTCGATATCTTCAAACTTGACAACCTTTTCATCATTGAACATCACCCATGACAGGCCACTTTGACCTGACAATGCTTTGCGAATCAAGGCAACATAATGTCTAACATGTGTTAGTCTAACACAAGGAAATGGGAACAGAGACATATCAGGCAACTCACCCTGCATGGACGGATGTGCCTTTATGGCATACAATCGACCTTAATTCATAGCGAGCAGGTAGGCTGGTGAGTCCAACCAAGCCACCATGAGACTGTGTGTTGTGGTCGTCGACACTCAAGTTTTCCTTTTTCTCCGCATCATCCGGGTGAGTAAAAACCCAATCTAGTGCCCTGTTAACATCGCCGTCGGTCGCCGCCAAGGCTCGCTGGGCACGAGACGCCTCAATACCCATATCTCCTAGCTGGGCAATTTTTGTGGCGTCTTGCTCACTAGTACTAGAGATACCGACTCGATCAAGGGCCAGCGGTTCATCAATGCCTGGATCCTCCATGTGGGCAAACAGCCAATTCATAGCAGTTTCCGGATCCAAGTTACCAGTGGCATGCAAGGCTTTCTCACATCTCACAGCAGGGAATCCCATGCCCATGAGTTGGTTGAGAGCTTCCGGATTCGGGACAAATGTGGTGGATTCTTCGATATCCGGAAGTAGCTCCTCACCTGAATCGTGCTCACCAGCAAGGTAAGAGCTGAAATCCAGTGGCTTATCGTCGACCAGCACAGGGATATCCAACTTTGTAGGAACCCAGTTGATGAGCTCAAAGCGACGAGCATTGACCACCAATTCCCGAGGCAATGTTTTGAAAGATGACTGTTTCGAAAAGCCACCTTGGCTGCCACAAGCAGGACATGTAAGCTCCACAACCTCTGCTGAAGTAAAGATATCCAGACACTCTGACAAATTCACCGGCTCGTATTCCTTTCTTGTTTCGTCAGAAGTGGTAGTACGACGTGCGGGAACAGCAACCGAAATGTTATCTTGCTCATCCACTTTATAGCGGACTTTCTTGCAATGCAAACACTGAAGACGCTGCTCAACCTGGAAGCGAAAGTGCTCTACCGGGTTAATCTGCGGACTTATGTGTTTTGACAGGGCGACCGACTTGAACAGATGAAGAAGAAATTCAAATGCATCTTGTTGCCTCATGGTTGCAAACTCCTCATGACCTTGTCCAATAAGATACTTGAACATTGCTGGTGCTAAACCTTTCTGATGAGCGACTTCCGGAATGTCCGTGGACAACATAACACGAGAATCAGGTCGAGAGTACCGGCCTGAGAGTAGTCCATCGGCAAGCTTTTGCAATTGTGTCTCAAGGTCCCGTGCTGGTTCTTGGCAGAGCGGTGGTTCTCCTGACAGCTGATAGTATCGCTCACGAAATCCACTCACCGAAAATATGCATTGCATAATACTGGAGAGATAGCAGCTGTTTCCGAGATTTGCTAGGCCTGTGAATGCAGGTCCAAAGACTGGAGCTAGCTCTCGACCATCTTCGGTCGTCATAGAAAATTCCCATTTTAAATTGTGCTCAACCTGCATCTCCATCAAACTCTTCTCTGTCTTCTCACGTCCAGCCAAGTAGATTCCCCAGTGTGCAAGGTGCGTCGCCAGTTCTGGATCTACCCTTTCCTCGTTGCACTTATAGCAGTAGACATCAGCGGAGCCTTCTGCTGTGATGGAGCCCAGCTTGACAGCAACACCATGTGATGTTGAGTCTGCGTGAGTAAGCCCATGTGAGTTTCCCTTGCTTCCACCAAATTGGTTTCGCCCACAACCTTTGTTCCCACATTCCAAGCACAGCCAGAGGTTTTCTCCCATGTCACATTCTGAACAATGGTTTAAATCTGCAATTTTTGGTTAGCACAGAGCCTAGTTGAGCATTGCAGGCAATGAATACCCATTGACGCAGCTTGCGTGTTATCCTGTTGAACCAAACAGAGTGTATGCTCGCAAGGAACAAACTCTTGCTCCCAGGCTTTGACCTCTTCCTTTTTTGAGAAAGTCATTGCAGTCATGACACCTTTGATGACAGCGGGAAGCTTGCCACTGGCTTTGTCCACATTGTCCTGAGAGCATGAATAGCACACCACTGATGTAGAAATGTCATATCTATCTTCTTCTGTTTCGGCTGCAATAGAAAGTTTTGAAATCTTTGGTGGAGGCTCGTCGCGCTATAAACCAGAGGTGTGAAAATCATTGGTCATAAGTTCAGGAAGGGGGTTCAGGAAGGGGTTGAGGCTGTACCTGCACTTTCTTAGGGGTCCTTCGAATGTTCAAAGCCAGTGAATGACCAAATCTCTTATAGTGAAGTAGTGCATGGTCTCTATTTCCAGCACATCCACCATTAAAGCAATAGAGACAAACATTTAGACCGGCATCATCATCCTTGCAATGTCAGAGTCAGACCAGATATGGAGCAGTATAGGAACCAAGGTGGGTAGCATACAATAGAATCAAAGCACTGAGTGCAGTCTTCTCGATAAACAGCTTGCGAAGATCCTGGTGGATTCAGATCTATAAAGGAGTGTTGTCTATTAGCTCCATTTGTCCTTCAGCTATTAGGATGATGTCACAAACCCGCAGCACCGGTATGGACACAAGAGGCCATATCCAGAGAAGAAATCTTGGGGACTCAGCAAAGTGTCAACAAATTCCGCTTGGCTTTTAACAGAGGCTGTAGAAGGTGTGATAGTATCCCATTGAAGGCAAAGATGTGAAAAGATAATATCAGACACCGTAGATTGAGCCAAAGCTACAATGCGTGGGGTTACTCTTCACCGCCTGCACGTGCTTTTATCAATGTTGTCCTGAGGCATCAAGAAAGTCATGTGGTGGGGGAAGTTGTGCCACTTAACGCGTTATTTTTCTTAACACGCGTTCCCAACCTTGTACCTATCACCTACTTTGCAACTACATCTGGACTTGCTCTGTCAAGTTCAGTCTTCTTTGCTTCCTTTTTTTCCCCACCCCATTTATCCCTCCACTCCATATTTTTTAGATTTTCCCCTGTGCTTCTTTCTCAACCGTGTCAATTATCGAAAATTGAAGTCATCATATTATGGCTTCTGAAGCAGCATCCCAAGTCACCATTGGGGCTTTAAGGTTTGTATCTATTTGATATGAAGATTCTGTATAGCAGTATATATGTTAATCGCTTGTTTAACAGTGCCATCTTTGATGAAACCAAGCCCCAAGTACGGGAGCCGATTGTTCAATGCGTTCAGATCAAGGCATTGCCAGCTCAGCCGAACCAACCAGAACGATACCGTGCTGTTTTCAGTGATATTGCGAATTATGTTCAAACTATGCTTGCTACTCGTATGTATTGTCCTTCTGGTACTCGTAACTCATTGGAACTGACTGACCGCTTTAAGAAGCCAACTCGGTGGTGACGGATGGATCTCTCCGGAAGGGTTCTTTCGTGCGACTCAAGTCATTTCAATCAAACTCAGTCAAGGGCAAGAAGTATGTAAGGCAATTCTATTGATTTTGATTGTGCTAATTATCACAGGATCCTCATCATCTTGGACCTTGAAGTTCTAAAGGAACTGGGCGAGGCTGAAAAAATTGGTGAACCCAGACCACTTGAAGTCAAAGCCGAGGAACAGGAAGTCAGCCAACCGACAACAATATCCAGCAATGGGTTTTACGGCTCCAAGATGGAGGGTGCACAGGTTCAGCAGAATAACCGAGCCCAGGCAATGTCTGCCCCTATTTCTACTTCTTCTGCTCATGCCACGATCTACCCGATTGAAGCCATCTCCCCCTATTCTAACAAATGGACGATAAAAGCGCGATGCACGACCAAGTCTAGCATTAAAACATGGCACAACAAGAATGGTGAGGGTAAACTGTTCAGTGTGAATTTACTGGACGACAGTGGTGAAATTCGTGCAACTGGTTTCAATGAGCAGTGTGATATGCTCTATGAACTCTTCCAGGAGGGAAGTGTTTATTACATTTCGAGTCCCTGTCGGGTTCAAATTGCCAAGAAACAGTTCACAAATCTCAATAATGATTATGAGCTCACATTTGAGAGAGATACCGTCGTCGAGAAGGTAATATCTCTTTCTTTATACATCAGATGCGTTGCTCACATTCTATGATAGGCCGAAGAGCAGAATGATGTTCCTCAGATCAGATTCAACTTCACAACCGTTGCTGATTTGCAGACGGTTGAAAAAGACACAACTACTGATGTTATTGGCGTGCTGAAGGACGTTGGGGAGACATCCCAGATTACATCAAAAAGCACTGGCAAACCCTATGACAAACGCGAGCTTACGCTGGTCGATAACACAGGATTTTCTGTCCGCTTGACAATTTGGGGTGCATCTGCCAAAAATTTTAGTGTGGCGCCTGAGTCTGTTGTTGCCTTCAAGGGAGTCAAAGTCTCTGACTTCGGCGGAAGAAGTCTGAGTCTTCTAAGCTCAGGCTCAATGACTGTTGACCCTGACATCGGGGAGGCTCACCGACTCAGAGGTTGGTATGATGCTCAAGGCAGGTCAGAGAACTTTACATCTCATGCTTCATTGTCAAATGCGATCAACTCCACAGGCAAAAGGGATCCCTACAAAACTGTTGCGCAAGTTCGCGAAGAGCAGCTTGGCATGTCTGAAACTCCTGATTACTTCTCTCTGAAAGCAACTGTGATCTACATCAAGCAGGATTCCACGTGGTGCTACCCTGCCTGCCTTTCTGAAAACTGCAACAAAAAGGTAACACAACTTGATTCAGGACGGTGGCAGTGCGAAATGTGCGACAAGACCCACCTGAAGCCAGAGTACCGTTTCATTATGCCTATTAGCGTCAGCGACCATACCGGGCAACTTTGGCTCAGCTGTTTTGACGACACCGGAAGAAGCATTATGGGTATGTCTGCTGATGAACTGATGCAACTTTGTGAAGACGATCCGGGTGCTTTTGGTGAAGTCTTCCAGGGAGCCAATTGCCAGACCTGGAGCTTCAGGTGCCGAGCCAAGATGGACAATTTCGGCGACCAGCAGCGGTAAGAGTGATCGAATGACTACAATTCTAATAACGTGAACATGATGCTAATTGTGCCATCCAGTGTGCGATATCAAGTCTCATCCTCTCAGGCAATCAATTACTCGGATGAAGCCTCTCGCCTTGCTGATATCATTAACTCTTACAGCATTGAGTAGACAAATTGAGAAGTTTTTTTTTGTTCTTCTTTGCACTAGTTTCAATATTTCCACATGCGCTCAGAGGCTCTTTTTTTTACCAACATTCATATGTACTCTTATGCTGCGTATGCCACACTATGATCATCTCATTCACAGCCTCTCATCTTGACCTTTGTTCTTTTTCTCCTATTTAGTATTTAGTACTCTAAGAAACAACAACTAGTCATTTTCCGATATTATCTTCTCGTCATCAATCTACAATATGGGTTATCCCTCCATCTGGGCAGGGCATCACTACGGACTATATATACCTGGTGCGAAGTAAGGTATGGTATGGTCAATAAATATGTAGGATATGACAAAATCCGCCTTTCGGACAATCCATAGATCCATCTGCGCGGACATCGTTGACTAATTGTAAATACACTTTGTACATAACGTATTTCACATGCGAGCTGCGCACACAAGCGAGCTGCGCAGTCGAAACACCATAGTAAAATCGATGTATGCTACACTTATATCTCCACAACCAAACGTTTTTTATTAACAGTAGTTTGCCGATAGAGATTGATAAGAATTTTTAGTGGTATACATCAATTTCGAGTGGATTAAAAACCTGCATTATTATGGTATCGAAAATTACGTCTCTAACTCCTGTGAATTTATATATCTCAGTCATGAATTTCTTAACCTTGCTTAAATTCCCCCAAACTCCTAAAAGGAGCAAGATATTACATGAAAAGCATTAGGCTATAAGGAAAAGTTCGCAAAGACAAGCATTGTTGAGATATCTAGTTGTAATTTATCGCATTTACTATGGGTATCGGACTGCGCAGCTCGCTTGTGTGCGCAGCTCGCATGTGAAATACGTTAACTACTAGTAACTTTGGTATGCCGGGTACTGGTTGTCACCTGGCATTCTCAGCTACAATACCCTGTTTTCATTTAGTATTACATGTTACAGTAGGACCTCCGAAATATTGGGCCAAACTAATGTACCCTTATACACCGCCTTTTTATATTCTGCCGGTTTAAACCCTCCATATATTAAATGAACTAATTCAGGACGCCGCCGGCTCCGGCGAGGTAGAATTTTAATGTGAGGTATAACTGGCATTTAAATAAAGAGAAATTAATAGAGGAACGAGCGAAAACGCGGAGGGGACGCGGTATATACTTGGCATGGTAGAGGCTGGCAGTATATCTAATAGGCAGGCGGTATATAAAGGCGGTCTATATGGTACTTGAGTTTGGCCCAATATCTCGGAGGTCCCACTGTACTCCGTATATTCCGACATGTTATGAGGCGGTAAACCAACCAAGGCGGAAATAAATGGCAATACACTATAATTGGTTTCCCTTTTCCCTTTTTTTTCCCTTTTTTTTTTCTGCTGGAACAATCCAGGCAGAGAATTCAGTCCTCTTTATCTTTTGATTCCAATAATATTCTGTTATATCCTATTTCTAAAAAAATTCTCATCATGGGTAAGCGAAGCCATCTGGAGCCAACTGAGCAGCGACCGAAGAAAAAGTCCAAATCCGAGAAGCCCGAAAAAGCTTCTAAAGATAAGCAGAAAAATGGAGATGAGAAGACTGCATCTTATTCTGATGCCTTTGCTCTATCCGAGATCCCTCAGTCAGAGATTGACAGTTTCTTGACCGAGAACGTGATTAAAATCGTTGATCCCTCCTCACCCGACGCCTCCCAATTCCGCCCAATCCTTTCGTTTGATCACCTACCTGAATGTGATGCTGGTCTGTATACTCAATTGAAGTCTTTCCCTAAGCCAACGCCGATTCAATCCACTACCTGGCCGCTTCTTTTTGCTGGTCGTGATGTGATCGGCATTGCAGAGACTGGAAGTGGCAAGACCCTGGGTTTTGGCTTGCCATGTCTGAAGAAATTGATTGACTCCAAGTCAAGCAAGAAGCCTTGCCAACCCAAGGCAGTCATTATCTCACCAACACGAGAGCTTGCAATGCAAATTTATGACCAGCTTGTTAAATTCGGCGGCACCGAGAAGACTCAGGTGACATGCATTTACGGAGGTGTCGGTAAAGATGAACAGCGTCGAGCCCTTCAAAGGGCCGCTATTGTGGTTGCTACCCCTGGCCGTCTCAAGGATCTCCAGAGTGATGGTTCCATTGATCTTGGAAAGGTCCAATATCTCGTCTTAGATGAGGCCGATCGCATGCTTGATAAAGGATTTGAGCAGGATATCAAGGATATTGTCAAGCCAATGCCCGTCTCCAGGAGACAGACTGTCATGTTTACGGCAACATGGCCCCGGTCGGTTCGAGATCTTGCAGCAACCTTTATGAAGACCCCGGTGACTGTTACCATTGGCGGAGACCCATCTGCGGATCCCCGAGCCAACTTAAGGATCAAGCAAGTCGTCGAGGTTGTTGATGGCCGAGACAAGGAGGGCCGACTCATACAACTACTCGCTAAATCCCAGCGTGGTCATCAATTGCCCGAGAAAGTCCTGGTATTCTGCCTCTACAAGAAGGAGGCTATGCGCATTGAGAATCTCATCAGAAACAAGGGATTCTTAGTCGCCGGCATCCACGGTGATTTGAACCAATCAGATAGATTCCGTAATCTTGATGCTTTCAAGAAGGGCACTGCTACTGTTCTTGTCGCAACAGATGTGGCAGCGCGTGGCCTGGATATCCCGAACGTGAAACTGGTGATTAATGTCACCTTCCCTCTTACCGTTGAGGACTACGTGCACCGGATTGGAAGAACCGGACGTGCTGGAGCTGATGGTATTGCCATTACCATGTTTACTGAGACTGACAAAGGACTGTCCGGCGGGTATGTCACTCATATCTCTAATATTCTTGACAGAGATGATCATAGCAATGCTAATTGTGAATAGATTAATCAATGTTCTCAAGGCAGCTAAGCAAGATGTGCCAGAGGCATTGTTGAAGTTTGGCACAACAGTGAAGAAGAAGCAGCATGATGTGTACGGTGCCTTTTACAAGGACGTTGATATGGACAAAACAGCGACAAAGATCACATTCGATGATTAATTGGTTCATACCGACTTGGTGTCTTTGCTGGAGGATCTGGAGGATAACATGTGACGAAGCCTTGTCAATTGACCCATCAAATATTCCCTTTCTATATAGACTCTGTTGTTTTTATCGGTTAGGCGTTAAGAACAAATTAACATCATATCAGATCAGATTCAGGTGCTCACATTAGCAGAGTGTAGGTGCCACCTAAGGCACATGCTTCGATAATTCCCAGTTTCAGGCCAAATCCGCGACGCAAGAGCAAACTTGCCAGAGCACACAGAAAGAAGCTAGCAGGTCGAATGGCCACTTCACTCGTATTCAGGCTACATCCATTTCGATGGAAGTACGATTTGATAAAACTGTAACTCCAACAGGTTCGAACCATCATGTTCACAATGTTGGCCAGGACCAATCCATATGCACCCAGGTCTCCAACTTCTAGGAACATATAGGCCGCTAGGGCATAACAGGCGGAAAAGACACCCATCCACGCCGTTTGCTTCCGTATCTGTTGCGAACTTGCTGCAGATGATACGAACGCTTCGGTGATCCCATTAAATGCCAAAAATGGAATGTAGTAGCAATAGACAGAGAGCAGGTCCCCGATCTTGGGGAAGCCCATTGACGGCCTCCCAAGATATACAGCAATTGAGGAACCATCAATGGGCCTAATGGAAATATCAGAATTGACAACAACTGGTACGCGCGTAGAATATCTATGAGGTGGTCTCTGGTAGTGCTGATATGGACACTCTTCGGCTTTCCATTCTCATCGGAGATGAGTAGGGCTGAGAATAAGTTTCGGCTGCTCTCCTCCAGCGGCTGGAAGATGATCCGTGCAATGAGCCCACCATAGTTTGATGCAAGAGAATATATGCCTTGATCTTCTAGCCCTGAAAGGGCTGCAAGCATCATAGTGTCGCCCTGCGTGAGCAAATGCTTCACCAGAGATTGAAAAAAGACATTTGCAGCAAGTGACATTAACTGGCGCGAGAATCGTCCTAGCAAGTAGTTGGAGGGGTCTCTATAAATTGTTACCATGTCATTCTTTTATCCTGTATCTCGGGCGAGATAAGGACACTCTTACCTGAATTGTATACGTGTCAATAAGAAAGAGAACCGGGATGCGTTGGTTCCTCTGAGTAGGGCTAGCGAGTAGCCACAAATGAGGGCCAACGAGTAACTGAGATGACCGAGAGCAAATGGTAACACACCGAGGTCATAGTTGACTTGAGAGGCGTATATAAAGGCAGAGGATGTCACCGCACTTCTCAAAAATGCCGCTGGCATTTCAACAGCAGCGCGTTTCTCATAAAGCATATGTTGCTGTACTACCGAAAAAAAAGGCTCGATACTGAGTTCCATGAGAGATGCAGCCCCGATCAAGACCATACTGTGGTAGAAGAAGGCGGTGTTTGATGCTTCCTCGGGGACAAAACGCTGGTACAACATACTAAATATAAGGCTGGAAGGAAACCCAAGTGCGAAGCTCAAGTAAGACATGTTCACTACTGTCTGAGATGCCACAGAGTGCGAATCGAACGTTGCAGTATCTGCATCAGGAGAAGGATTTTTGCAGTCGGGCGAAGATGGAATAGGCTGCCTTTGGATGGCCATCCGAATACTTTCCCTCGAGAAATACAGGATCGAAACTTGGAAGAGCTCCAATTGTGCCGCTATTCCCAGCACGACCGGCGAAAGGGTGCGCAAAATCAATTGATTCGAGGCAAAGGTAAAGATCCTAGACGCCAATTGAATCAAGATCAAAAAGCTTGTTCCCGTGGCTGACGACGCCAGAATCTTGCCCATGCGGGCATCGTCAGATTTGCTCATGTCCATGAATGGACCCAACTATGGTAGTGAGTGCAAGTGGTATGTCAAATCAAGGAGATCAAGAATATCTCAAGCTGACCATGGGAGGTGTAGGGTTCATGGGAAGGGGTTGTAAATGAAAGGATGTGGTGCCTAGGTGGGGCCTACTCTAGGGACCTGACACTTTTTTCCCTCTTTATCTTAATTCCTTGAATGGGAGATACATATTTGCTAGATGAAATCAAGAACTGTCTTGAGCCTGTGAAATAGATGAAGGCATAGCATATATTTATGGGGGATCAACAATCTCCTTCGATGTTAGGATTCCATTTGGCCAGGATACTTGCTTACGGTCAGCCCTCCAGGTCCCTCCAGGGCTGAAACCCTACGTATATACCTCTAGGGATAGGTAAGGCTAGGCATGGTTGCAGGCTAATTGTGAATTTTCTTTCAAAAGAACCCTCTGTGATGTCTTTGGTATGCAAAATTTTCATGGTAAAGAGAAAGAATTACTATGGGTCAAAATCCGCAAAGCATGATGCTTCTTCCCAAGGTCCTGATCCATGTCAACTTTTGTCAATCATTATATGCAGGAATTTCTGGAGAGGTCTAGCCACTAGAATGTCAATGATAGTTTGAGATCAATCTGTTTCCAGGTGTTGCCACCTTCAGGCTGTTGATCAAGTAGGCTCTTGAGCGCGCTAGAATGGAGGCAGATAGAATGGATAGCCACCATTCTTGGTTTTGAAGACACTGAGAAGGAAGCTGTACATTGCAAAAAGAACAGTTGCCCAGATCAAGACAGCCAGTTGTTGACCCTTCACATCTTCCATCCGGGGAACCTTTAGTGCGAGTGCGATCGTAGCAAAGGAGAGGACAGCATCTGGGAGAGCAAAACGTTAACCTAGGAACTCGGCATGGAAACGACGCTCAGTATCAATAAGCTTCACGATTATCACTTACAGATGGCAGCCACAATTTGAGTCTCCATACCGAATTGATTCTGGAATCCACCGGCAAAATAGCTAATGCCACCTTGGCCATCACCAGCAACATATGGAACCTTTCGGATGTGATTGAACATTTGACCACTGGTGAATAGAAGAATAGCGATAAGGCTAATTGCAGCCCAAAGGTTTCGGTTCTGGACAATTGGCAGCAGGTAGGGGGAAAGGACCGCAATTACAGTCACAACTGCCATCAGAATGGTGATCGCTGATACAATTCGCATGTAATTGATGGGTCGAACTAGTTGCGGCTTGGGGCCTTCGGGCAAGTTACGTCCAATCCAAGAGTAGACCTGCTCGGCTGAGATCGGGCTGTTTGGGATGAAGGCGTTAGTTCGGGGCTGGTCGCATGAGCTTTGGTAGAAAGACATACCCTGTGAAATCGAACCGGATGGGACTCCCTTCAACCTTGGCAAACGGACCGATGGTAGGAGGGAAAACAAGGAGTACGGGTGCAGTTTGAAGCATGAGCTGCTTAGGTTAGTCGCATGACATAAAGTTCAGTCTCAAGTAAAAATGCCCTACCTTTTGGAAAATGGCCTTGCCATTATCAAAGTCGAGTGTTCCAAAGACTACCTTGAGGTCATCAGACTTCGTACCTTTGATCCAGCTTCGGGCGATCAGGTCCCATTCAGATTCAAAGTCACGGCATAGAAGGCAGCCAAAGCGAGGGTCCGTGGCAGTCAGGATAACCACAGCATAGTAATCTCGAGGCGTTGAGGTGAGTTCTTCATATGATGCACTGTCTAGATCAACAAGCCCCGAACGAGACAGGGATTGATATCTTGCAAACTTGTCTGGTGTTGAACTCGCAGACAGGACACCAGACACGAACGAGAAAAAGAGAAAAAGGGCCGTCCAGGGCTTCATTTTGGCATGACAAGGAGCTTTGCAGCTTTGAAGAGGTTAGTTATAAAGCGCAATTGATTAAAAAAACTACCAATTGCAATCGAAGATGTTTGAACACGTTTGTGATAAAGTCCAGGTGTCCACTATCAACGTAATCGCCCCGGGCCCGGGGCCCGTTATATCAGCTTACTTAATATATTCGGGTCAACCTTCCTTTCCCGACACCCCAAACACTGGCGCGTCTTCCTTTGTAACCATTTATGTCATACTTTGAACTAGCATTGGATACAGCACCACATATTTTACCTAGGTATTTGTTTTGCTCTAGACAGGCATAATTTAATCTATAGGCTTTTTCGTTTATTTTCTTATATCGAAGGACTCCCGTCTTCTTGTCGTGGACACTGTCGTCATGGCAATGGCCGAAGAAGCATACGCCTTGGATGTATGTGGCTTCCCCGGTGGGATCGATGGAGATATGCTCAAAATGCTAACTTGATTATGTAGTTTGAAATGACCATTAGGACTATGCGCCTAGAGAAGGAGTATGAGAAGACTCTTTCGGATTCCGCTCGTCTTCTGGATGGCGAGAGGGACCGGGTACAACGCATGGAGCTCTTGCTCTCGAAATTTGAGAATGAAGCTCTCCGATTCCAATTAGAGGAAGCAAATAGGCATCTTTTGGGATTCACAGGTGCTGATTCAGAGGCATGTGTTCAACTTCAGGAGGCTTGCCAGGAAATCGATCATTTGGAGCTTCAAGCACAGGCATTCGCGAGTGAGATTGACCGACTCAAAGTAAGCTTTAACTCAATATGGAGGCTGGATGCATAACCCGTTATGTTGACAGCAACAGGAGGCACTCTCGACCCAAAAAAATAATTCGACTAGTTACAATGCTGTCCTTGCAGAGAAACTCCATCTCTCTAGAGATATTTCAACTCTACAGTCAGAGCTTGAGCAGTTCAGATCGCAGAGCGCATCATATCAAGCCATCATTTCCGAGAAACACGAGATGGAACGGCAAATAAACTCGCTGGAGCTTCAACTTGACAATGAAAAACATGCCCATGAACGCACTCAGGCTAAGGGATCACATCAAATAACAGAGATCACCCGGCTTTCTGCTCGGGTTGAAGGGTTAAGGAATGAGCTAGCGGAGGAATTGCGAGCTAAACAGCAGCAGGAACGGGACCACCACCATCAGAACTCGGCATGGGCTAATCAGCGAGCGACGTTTGAAGGAAAGATTGATTCGCTCAAACAACAATTGCGGTCAACCAAGGACAAGCTCCAGGAAGCCCAGGTTGAAGTTCAGCAGCAACGCAGCCTCAAATCACACGCAGGGAATGGCTCTGAATCCGGTTCTCGAACAGTCCCGCTTCAGCGTCCTGGCCCGAGTTGTCCTACCGGCGTGACGATTGCAACACCTGGGGCTGTGCGTGTACACGAAAAACTGAAGAGGGATTCGGCTATGCCTGGTGATAAGTCGGCATTTTCCATCACTCCATTCTTGAACCGTACAGGCGCAGCTTCGGATTCGCCAATGGGCTCAGTTGGAGACGAAGACGACATTCTTGGAGATATTGACACTCCTCGTGGACCACTTGGCAAGCAGGGCACTTTTGTCGAATCAAAGCGTATCGGTTCTGCCCTCGGGCGTCAACCATCTCCAACAGAAGACCGCATTCCAATTACGAACCTCACCAAACCAAGGGTATGTGAGGGAAAAATGCCTGTCTCGTCACCAGAAAATGAGACAAAGAACCCAACGTATCGCCTAGATCGCAGATTGCCACCCACTGAGACCAATGAGTCACGTGAACAGTCTCAGCATGAACAGGCTAAGCCGAAGAAACGCAAACTTGGTGGCCAGCGTGATCGGAGTTTATTCGAGGAGGATGAAGAAGAAGAGCTGAACCCAAACAAGAAATTTGGACGAAAATTTGCGATAGGAAACGGTCGGGCTTCAACGCTGGGGAGTAAAACACAACCTAGTAGTCTGCCACGGGCGCTCGGGCTTGGGGCAGCACCTGTGGGATTTTCTCCCTTGAAAAAAGACCGCAAACGATTTTAATGGATATGATAGAAGATGCGACAATTTATTTTGATTGACCAGACTCCACACGGTGCATTTAATAGGCATAGTACATATACAGTAACTACGCATAAGTCTTAACACCTCTGTCCCACTAGAGTAGTTATATAATGTTCTGCCGGTATAATTATCTGCCCAAAATTCACTAGGTAGCTATTACGGCCGCCTTGTCATGCCAAAATTTGCCTTAATAAATAGAAACTAATATTAAAATTCTAGAGGCAATTTCTAACAGGTGCTTCAGATAGTTATAGTGATTGGGTGTCTTATGATATAAATTGTACTCCGTATAGGCGTTTGGTATGTAGGCGGTAGAGGACGGGTAGAGGACGGGTAGAGGACGGGTCGCAAATTGGTGTTAACACTTATAGCCGTCCTACCGCCCCTATACCTAGTATAGGTCCGTCCCACTATCCAGAATTTTCCCACAAAACGGAATTTTTTCAAAAAAAAATATGTATTCAATATCAATTATCTCGGCACCCCAGTAGTATCAATAAACCAATTTCCGTATAGGCTATCTCTAGCCGCTAATCTAGCTTGATACTTATTTTCTTCAGTATCCCTTACCAATTGAGCGCGCTGTTCTATCTTAAGATTCTTAGTATATTTTACCTATAGCCTTAACAGCTTCTTATAATCGGAATCCTACCTTTTCCGTATTAATCTATTAGCTCTAGCCGGTAACAATACTAAAGTGCCTATATTGAGAATCGACTTACGATTTATAGGAGTATTAGCAGTAGATTTGTTGTATTAGGACTTCTTTAAAGATACTTTATAAATTTCTAGGCGCTGAGATAAAAGTTGATTTACAGATATACTCCGATAAATATACTTCCGTATACTGTTAGAGAGCTTACCTAGCTCCTCTAGTTTACTGAGCAGCTTATTATTAAGCTTATTGACCTATATAATTGAATTGGGAGGCGAATTGATAGCTGAGCTTAGGATCTCCGGGGGGGGGGGGAGTATTAATAATCCTAAGATTATCGATATCGTTGAATTTCTCCTATAAAGGTGTAAGAATAATCTCTAGATCTAAAGGGTATATACCCCGAGAGCTGAAGGATAATTTAATAGTCCTTTATATAGGGGGTTGCTAATCTGACCCCCCCCCAGCCTATTCTGACCCCCCCCCCTGCCTGAAATTTCAGTCACCGCCTTACAAATTAGGTACCGCTCTCCACACCGCCTTCCTGGTAACCTCCCTATACAATAGTAGTAGACAATAGGTACCTACAATTTGTATACAAACCCTATACAAAATCAAGTCACTTTTGTTATATAGACTAGATCAAACAAATTGATACTCCAATTCTGGTTTACACCCATTAAGTATCATCAATCTCTTTATTATCAACACCATCAATTCTATCAATTCAATATCAATTCCATTAATTCAACACCAATTCTATCAATTCAATACCAATTCTATCAAAATCACTATACAAAATAGCCTCTTTAGGCCTCGATTACCTACTCTCGTCTGACTCCGAGCCAGAAATAGTTCCCGAGTCTCCACCGGGTACTGTACCAATCAGCGAGACTCCTATGGGACCTAGTACCGAGTACAGCCAGCGAATCAGCGAGACTCCTATAGTACCCAGTACCGAGTACAGCTAGCGAACCAGCGAGACTCCTATAGTACCCACTGAGACCGAGTCTTTTACCTTTCCGCTACCCCCGTTAAACCAGCAATACCGTATATATAGACCTTGCCAACTCCCATGGACCCACTCCCATGAGAAAGTCTTGGCGGTCAAAATTAATGCCAAGCCCGACTATCACTGCCTATTTAGGTAATATAATTCCCTAAATAGGCTTAGCCTAGTCCCATGGGAGTTGGCAAGGTCTACGTATATATAAGGAAGGGAGGGAAGCAGTGAATACCTTCGCTCGGCCCTATAGCTATACGATCACAAGTATATATTTAAAATTCACTAAGAAGGGGGTAAAGAAAACTGTACGGCTAATTTGCGACTGTAGCTGTATACTGGATAAGATAGAGGGCGATAAGCCTACACCTCAAAAACGCTAGAGCACTACACTTAGGCTTAGATATCCCTTCCAGATAGCTCTTCGACTGGATCTACAGATAGGTCTTTGGTATCTTACCGTTGAGAACCCGATATATAACTATAAATCCTCACCGGTATCAACCTATCCTATCCAACGGGCCCTTGCCTTTATATATAAGAAGGACGAGGTCGAGAACGCGCTTCGACAAGGACGTATAACAAAATAGATTATAACTGAGCTACATGAAGCCGATCCCGGTACAATTCTGATTCCTAAGGATATTTACAATATACGTTAAAGGCTAAGCCTAGAATTCCTAGCTGGCTGTACCCCCCTCTAAGCTCTGTTAATAGAGCTTCCTAAGGATAGTCGCTGGATCTTTAAGTATAAGCTAGATAACGAATCCTATATATCTGCTCTATTTTGTATATATAAGATAAGTGTTATATTGCTTTAGGTTAACCCTTAGGTGATTTCGATAGACTGTACCTACAAAACCAATCGATATAGTCTTCCGCTGCTTGATATCGTAGGCTTTTCTACCACTAGTTCGACTTTCTATATAGGATTTGTATTTATAAGAGATGAAAAGGATAAGTTATACAAGGTATTTGGAACCCTAATAACCCGATAATCCTATAATCCGATAATCCTATAATCCGATGATCCTAATACTAATCTATATAATAGAATTACTAGGTAATTCTTAACTACCTTACCGAAGTCTATAAGTCACTTAGCCTTCTACCCCTGTGTACGATTCTTACGGATAAGGAAAAAGTATTGATAGGAGTAATTAAGGTTGTTTTTCCGTATACAAAGTATATGATTTATATCTAGTATATTAATATAAATATCTTGAAGAAAGTATACCCCCTCCTTACTGATTAAGTCGTATAAGCCCGTCGAGAAGCCCGTGGAGATAAGCCCCCCCGCCGCCTTACCCCCGCTGAAGCCGAGGAAGACCGTTAGAAAGCCGACGAGGGCTAGAAGAAGATACTCTACCGGTGGAACCTAGACCTTGCCAACTCCCATGGACCCACTCCCATGAGAAAGTCTTGGCGGTCAAAATTAATGCCAAGCCCGACTATCACTGCCTATTTAGGTAATATAATTCCCTAAATAGGCTTAGCCTAGTCCCATGTAGACTGCGACATCGCCCGTCCATGGGCACCTAGGAGGTGCCCAAGGCCCGTCCACGGTGGGCCTTGGGCTATTTGGATTTTCGAGTGCCCGTCCATAACGCCCAAGGCCCACGGGTATACCCACGGCGGGTATACCCACGATACCCACCATTGTATAAAGTCACCCAAAATAGACGTATAACTCGCTGACTTTGTATAATAAATAACTGTTATTTACACCTGTTTTGCTAACTCTATATAAAATAGCAGTTTTAATCTACAATATCTATAAATTTTACTGAAATATCTATATATATAAGAAACTAGTATATATATAATACGAATTGGAATAAAATTTTAATCGAAATATATTATATTGTGTGGTATTTTTATTAACTTATCAAATTATACTGTAACAGCTTGAAGATATATATTCAAGTCAGTGGTATATACCTAGTATTTTCTATAAGTAAAATACTACTTATAGATTCTACTTTATCTCTTACTCTGGTATATTTCTTATAGGTAGATCGAAAGATAATTAGTATAATTCTTATTTTATAAGCTTATATCACTAAATTCTGTCAATTATATCACTTAAAGACTTATATTATTATTCTGGGAGTTTTAAATCCTTCGATTGTAACTCAAGATAGGCGTTTAGGTATATTCCTATAGGTGTGCCCACGGGCGTACCTACGGGTATACCTATAGACAAAGACACTTATAGCTAATCAGCTTATAATATATAGTGGGTCTACACTCAATTTACGATCTATCAGATCTATATAAAGCACCCCTTTTACTAGTAATCCTCGTTTTACACGGTCGTAAGTTACCTATTGTAAGTTTAGATCACTTACTCTCCTATAGTCGTTATATTATCCCTTATATTATATTAACTATATCCCAACCTAGTGCCTATACCGCAGGGCCTTCTTTACTTCCTCCGAGCTCCTAACTAGACCTCTCCTACGTCGCCGATATATTTGATCCTAACCTTAATCTAAATATTGATCCTAGTCTCTTTAACAGCTAATAGACTTCTATCTCACTAATAGAGTCCGAGTTCACTTAACCGGCTATTCTTAATTGCTCTCTTAAACGCGTCGGCCCCGATCGGAGAAAGCAGTTTATCCTCTACAACGCGATAAACAACGCGTCTAAAGTAAAGTTTATCGAGTAGTGGTGTACTATAGTACGCGGTAGTAGTACTGAGATATAATAAAGGCTACGATAGGATACAAAATATATATTAGATATCTAGGAGAACTTCGACTAGGTAGTATATTATATTATAGGCGAACCTTTGGTTATATATCGGATATATAGGGTTATATTGCCTTATCTAAGTACAAAGCAAAGCGGTACCAATACACTTAAGCGGTATCTAGCCTTAGGTAAATACTAAAAGGGTGGTAAAAGTAAGGCTATATAACAGTCGATTGAGGAGACTATATAGTATATACCGGTAAGTCTTATATTATTATACCCTTTAAGATAGCTAATATATTATATATTAGGTACTAGAGTTATCTTATAACTTAAAATTCTCGAATAATAAATAGGAAAGAGAGTAGATTGAATATCTTACCAGTCTGAACCTCCCTTTCCGGATACTTAAGAGGAAGTAATTTACTTCCTTAATTCGAATAGTATAAAAGGCTCCAGCTGAACCTACTTTACTCTATCCTTATACTACTTAACACCGGCTTAAGAAATTGGTCGACGAGGAGTAATATTTAATTCTCGCTACCTTACTATAAGATACAAAGCTCTCAATTACCCTCGACTGCTGGATATCGCCTTTTCAGTAGGTATTTATAGCAATTA